TGCCCTTTTATGCTTCCTCTGTCTCTTTCTGCTTTCTGAGTAGGTCTTTGATGTAACAAAGACAGTTTCAGACAAGATTTCAGTTCATCTGAAAAAAAAAAAAGGTTTAAGTCTGGAGGCAAAATGCAGTGTATTTAAAATTTATACACTCCATAACGCCTTTGTTCTGAACTTGAAGATCCCGCAAAACTTGGGGGCTCCTTCACCTTCTTCTCTAAGCCTTCATTCACCCTCTGCTGATTATCTGGCCACCGTGGCTTTACCAGGCGCTTCCACCATTTAACTACATGCAGAGTCATGGCTGACCCCTTCTGATCAATTGCCAATCCATACAGGTTTGACTGATAAAAGAGCCAATTAGATTTAAGCAAATTAAGGGACATCACCAATGTCAACCACTTATTAAACCGAACACCGAATTCCATGCATACAAAACACAGATGCACAGAGCCCCATTAAGTGCTGAAATCCTAACCCCATTAGTAACTCCAGACCTTAGTGGGGTAAAGGTTACAGGGAGGTTTCATATTTATGGATTAACGTTTGGATTCCTTTTTATTTTTTTTTTTAAACTCTGCCTAGAACTCTTGTACTTGTTCCATAATGCTATTTGAGAGCTTGGATTAAAGTGATCTTTCATTTCCCAGAGTATCTTAACACTAAGGAGTATTATGTTTTAGAAATAATACAAAACAGAGTGATTGCAGGATTTCAGAATCCTGAGAGCACAGGCAAGAGATACTCCAGCAGGATCCCAAAGACAAAATATTAATGTTTTCCATACAAGATTTTAGGGACCGAGTGCCATTAATGTGCATACTTAGCCCTCAGTAGTGGTAATAACAGCTGCCTTTACTTCCTACCTTCAAATCACATGGGTTCATCAGATCTCCTTTGTGTGTATGTGTGTGGCTTTGTTCGTGTGTCTGCATGCATGTACATGTGCATGTGGGAGCCAGAGTTGACATTTGGTGTCCTCAGTCCAGTGACTGGTGTCTAGTCACGTTCCTCTTTCTGTGTGGAGGCAGGGTCCCTCACCGGACTGGAGCGCTCTAATTCAGCAAGGCTGTCTGGCTGCTCTGCTCCGCAGCGCTAGGTTCCTAAGTGTGAGCTGCATGCCTGGTGTGTAAGACACAGTTCTGGAGATTAAATGAGGTCCTATTGCTTGTGCAGCAAGTGCTTGAGCCAGTGAACCATCTCACTGGACTTGTGTTTCTCACGCTGTTTTCCCTTCAGCAAAAGGGAGTTGGAGAGTAGTGATGAGACATCTCACAAGCATCAGCTAAGAGATGAGGACCATTGAAAATTCTTTTTTAAAAAACTCTGTGTGTGTGTGTGTGTGTGTGTGTGTGTGTGTGTGTGTGTGTGTGTGTGTGTGTGGTGTGCAATGCCAGAAGAGTCCAGCAGGGGGCATCAGATCCCTTGGAGCTTGAGTGATAGGTAGTTGTGAAGAACCTGAGAGGTTCTAGGAACCAAACTATAAAAAGTCCTCTGAAAGTACTTTTTTTTTTTTTCCACTCTTAAGTGCTGAGCCACTTTTCCAGCCTGGCATTTAAAATTCTTCATACTGATTTTCCTTGTCTCTCTTTTCCAAATTCTTGCATAAGCTAAGCAGTATTCATCCTATGCTCATCCTCATCCCCAACCAGTGAGGATCGGCAAGCTCATGAAATGCAAGGCTATTTCTTACTCTAATTCTCTGGTCAGGGTTGCAGCTAGATTTATGTGGGCACAGCCTTTCTCCTGCACAGAGGAGGTCCCAGCTTTGTAGCTATCACATACAGGTCCTCAGGTGGAGACGGGATCTGAGAGAACATGAGGAATGATAACCAATGGCTTAATGATTATTGAACTCTTTATCTGGGTATGCATGGAGTATATGCACATGCATGTGCAGGCGCATATATACACATGCTCGAGTGGATGCCAGGTGTCCTGATTGCTCACTCCCACCTTATTCCCCTGAGACAGGGACTCTGGCTGAACTGCAGCTCGCTGTTCTGGTTAGATTGGCTGGTGGCAAACCACCCACAACAATCCCCCTGTCTCGATGCCCCACAATTCTGGGGTTGTAGACATTCTTAGCTACATGGACTATGCTGTGTGCTGGGGACCTGAATTCAGGTCCTCATGCTGTGTAGCAAGCGCTTTACCTATGAGCCATCCCCTCAGCCCCTCATTAAGCCATCCTGACCAACTTATTCATGCACACACCAATTATTCATCACACACCTACCATGTGCCAGGTTTGATCTAGGCACCGAAGATAAAAAAGATCAGGGAATAGCCCCTGCTATGTGGAATCTTACAGGGAGAAAGCGTGATGGTCAAATTAAACAGGTGACTTCCATACACATGAGTGTACTCTGGGCTCTAGAGTGAATCTCAGGCTAGGTTGGCAAGAGACAGCATGCTGATGAACTGATTAAGTAGGTGAATTTACTCATGTAAGTGTGTGTGTGTGTGTGTGTGTGTGTGTGTGTGTGTGTGTGTGTCCATGCATGTGTATATGTGTGTGTGTGCATGTGTGCCTGCACATGTGTGTGAGTGCATGTGTGCATGCATGCGTGTGTATGTGTGTATGTTTGGCAAGTGTTTGTGTGCCCACGTGATTGTGTGGAGACAGAGGACATTGGGTGTCTTGATACAACCTTCTTCCCCTTATTTCCTTGAGACAGAACCTTTACTGAACCTTGATCTCACCATTTTGTAGTAGGGTGAGTGTCATTTAGACCAGGCGCCTACCTGTCTCTCACTTCACATCCCCAGTACTGGGGTTACAGGCATGCAGTCATGCCCTGCTTTTACATGAGAGCAGACTTGGCAAAGGCAGCTCCTCATGTTTCTGCAGTAAGCCCTCTCACATCCTGAGCCATCACCCCAGCCCCGCAGGTAAATATTTGATAGCAAATACTAGGTAAAGAAAGACCAGTGGCATTCCCCCCACCACACTTTCTATTGTGGTGTTTTTGATGTATCTGAAAAGAATCCACAGCTCAGGCTACTTCATTTCAAACCTCCCATCATCCAGCAGAGAAAGACACTAGGAACTCGGCATCACCATCCAAGAGGTCAGCCACTGAGAGCAAAGACTAGGCAGTGACTGTACCAGCCAAACACAACGCCGGAGCCAGCGGCACACAGAAGCACCTCTGCCTGTCGGTTCCCTTCTGCGTGCTGGCTCATTTACTGACCATTTCAGTATGAAGCGCAGCTCACTGGAAGGCATGCAAGATTTCTTTAATAACTCTCAGCACTAATTTAATTCTACTTAAACACACATATTCTACTGAATGCCACATGCTTTTCAGCATGATTTTTATGTGTAAATCATGATAATATGTTTTCAGCTCATTAAGTAAAAGGAAGCATGAACTAAAACCTATTTAATCAATGAGGTGTCACCTTTAAACTGCCACAAGGTCATAAAAAAGATCATTTCAAAGCGATAAGTTTCCTAATTGTAATCAACAACAATCTAATGACGGGAGAAAATAAGTCCTAATGGTGGCAATAAAGTGGCGCATACTCTGTCTCTAAGGATACTGCTTCCTCTTTGGGTGAAGGGTCACCTCCCTAATCTGGACTTCTGGGTACTTACTCTCAATGGCTACACTGATCCCAGATGGTGTGAGCCACAAAGGAACCTCAGCTTTGCCACACACCCATAAAGCAATGACCTAGTTGCTCTGATTTCCATTACATTGATCCTTGTATTGGTAAACACACCCTCACGTGTGAACTGAGTGAGCAATTGGAATGTGCTATTTTAACGGAGTCATTATCCCATATGCACAGAAGAACTTACTTGAACATACAGGCTTGAATCCATGGACAACGTATGAAGCAGGCTCCTTTGTGAACACAAACTGAATTGCTAAAAATTAAGAATGATCTAAGCCAGTGTAGACAGCTGTAAAAGGAGTACATGGTAAGGTTCTTCGATGCCTGAAGTTTGGCTGCAGGACATATGCTAGATCTCCTTGGTCCTTCTCCTGGAGTACGTTCAGAAAGCCCACATTCTGAGACTCAGGTGAGAGCCATGTTCTCATTACTCTGAGACATGCTTCCTGTTCAGGAGCCGTGAATACCAATCTCAGGGAGATTTCTTCTTGCCACTTAGACCTCACAAATAGTTAGGACATGGGGTGGGGTGGAGACTGCATATTTTCTAGGATAATTATGATTATTTAAACTGCACCAATTTTAAATAGAAATATTCAAAATAAACATACCCAGAATGCATTGCATTTCACACAGGAAAGGGCTGTCATGACCTCTAGGATGAAGTGTTTATTCAGTGTGTGAATGAGAGTCCTGTTGTAACAGCCCATGCTGATCCTTACAAAGAGGACCTATATTTTAAGTTTGATATTATCAATATGTTCTGCAAAGGGGCAAAGGGATTGTACCTTTTCACAATTTTTCAGTAGTCCCTGAACACTGATGTCCCATCCCCACCCCTTCCAAATATGTTGTCAAAATTGAAAAATCTGTCAAGTTGAAGAAAGGAGAAAACAAAAAACCAAACTACTAATTAAAAAAACATATTTATTAATGTTCTTAAGATATAGATACCCAGAGATACCTGTGTATACAGATATACACATACACATGTACATGCACATACACATGGCCACACACACACATACACATGTATACAGACAGACACACACATGCATACACATACACAGACAGATATAGACACACACACATGCACACATGTACACAGGAAGACAGAGACACACACATGCACACACACACATACACACACACACACACACACACACACACACACACACACACACACACTGTAAGAAGAAAACATACTCATCAAAGCAATAAAAGGATATCAATAATGAGTTTTCAAAAAACAAAACTGCCCAAACATTCAGAACTACAACCGAGCCTCTAAGTTGTAAAATAAAGTGTCCAATAGTCACTCGGTTCTAGGCTTCCTGTTTAAGTCAGAATGCTGACAACAGTTTTCACAGACTCACCCGCTGGAGGCATTTCAACAGAGACAGGGTCGCTGAGCACGCTGCCTTGGCTGTTGGAAGCATTCACTTGTACTGTGTAGTGCGAGTAAGGAACCAAGCCGTCCACCAGCACCCAGAGCTGCTTCCCTTCACTGCTGTGGATGGTTTTTGTGCCACTGAGAAGGGTGTAGTTATCCCCTGCTGATTGAAAAGGAAAATTACATTTAGTGAAGATTTTCTTCGGTTACTTGAGTATTTTCTTGGGTTGATAAAGACGCAATGCCAAGCTGAATTACCACACCAGCACCGATTGCATGTGTTCCCATCAGTGTGTACATTCACTTCAGCATGCTATGAATAAAACGAAAGCTGTGTTAGTACCTACAGATCACTGGCGTCAAACTGACTTGATATGCAAAGACAATGTCATTATATAACAAGCACTATGCATACAAAGAAAAAGTGTCCAGATATAGAAATGGATCCCTTGATGATTTATTTTTTATTTTTCATAATCCTTGAGTTTTCTTTAATATACAGAGAGAAAGAAGTAACGCCTCCTGGTAAAATGGTTCTGTCTATAGATAGCACACTCTGACATCCGCTGTCTACCTCTCACTCTGCTTGAGAGTTAGCCTGGCCTCTTTCTATTTCATGTCTCCTTAAACTGGGATTGCTCAGAACATCATAAAACAGTTGCTGTGGGTGGGCTGCCAGATGTGTCCATATTGACCTGAACATCTGTATCCAGCTTTCTTAGCAGATGCAGAAGCCTTTGGTTGCATAAAGCAATTGCTTCCCATGTGCCCTCATTGTGTCCCACCACCTCCATCCTTTCCAATCTCTGGTAAACCCATCTCAAATCCCAGTCTGTGTAGGACATAGAGAAATGCTGCACCCTGGTAATAATGGCTCCTCTCTTTCAAATCCTGTATAACATTCATGGTAAAAAGAGAGCAGAGGAGAACTAAAAATTTTTAGAATTAAAAAAAGAACAGAGTTAGAGTTTAAAATTATGACATTTACTTTAAAAGCCATATTTTAAAGCACACATGGGGGAAACATTGTTTTTAGTTTTAGTCAAATATAGGATTGTGTTAGATACGCTTTAAAAACACAAGGTAAAGAACCATTTATAAATATCATTAATTACATCAAACAGGCTGCCTTCCTTTGTCAAAATGTTTCCTGTTATACATTTATTCCATCAGCTTTGAGAAAAACGAGTTAAAACTACCAGGATACTGGATATAGAGGGGGAAGCAAAGATATTTGCAAGACCTAGCAATAACAGTATACTATTTGATTAAAGTGTAAAGGATGGTCACATGATATAAGCAATCTCACATTGTAAAGAAATTTGAATGCCTACAATATTTGTAAAGTCATATCCTCACAAATTAGCATAAAAGTGCAAAGAAAAGAATGCCTGCTAACTGTTGGAGTGCCCTAGGTTAGAACCTGTCCTTGTGCTCTTTGTCTAATGTGTCCTCTTCTAAGATGCTTAATGTTTCTGAGTATCTAGCTCTTTGTCCGTGAGCTCAAACTTACACACAGTGATTCTCGTACCATGCCACTATGAAAGTTAAGTTCTTACATTCCTGCACCCAGCATGAAATATCTGCTAAACAAAACAAAACAAAAAACAAAAAAAACCCCACCATTTGGGCTTCTTAGCCTGATCTGCATATAACGGCACAAAACTAAGAAGCATGCATGGGTGGTTCATCAATGTACACAGTTTGATTAACTGCCCTGTGAACAAATCTACCCAGCTCTCTCATTGCAATGAACGGAACAGTAAGGACCGCTGCTGTTTTCCCTGTAATCCATACAAATTCTACCTGCAGATATTGAGCATTGGCAAGTGGTTAAAATGGAAGCACCTGGCATTTTGTTTTCTCAGTGATCATTAACTATGGGTTAATCATCAAAAGACATCGTTGTTCATTTAAGCGACCAGCACAAACCTGACCACATCATGCTGTTGTCCTATCAGGTAATATTTCAAATTCTAAAACTAACAAGAGTCTCATAGTTTGTTAGGGTGTGGTCATTTTATGAAATGTGGGTAGGGTAGATAAAACCAGACATATACAAAAAAGATATTTATAATATTTATAATAATTTAAGGCTGAAGGAAGTAGCTGAAAATTTTATTGTGACAAAGTATGCACAGTGGAGTGTCTTCTGTGACCACAAGAAATCTCAGATATCCCACAATAATTTGTGATTTTAGTCTTGAGATTGATACAGGCAAAAGGATGATATCCCAGAGAAAATAAATAGTGTTCATGGACTAGAACACGGGGAAGCATAATTGCCACTTGTTTCCAATGAAGAAATGTTCCAAGTTTAGAGTGACATCAAGTCCCAAATGGAGAAGAACTCTATCTTGACATTTATGCAATGCAATGCCCACAGAGTTCTGAATGCAGCTTTTAAGGGCTCCCTCCATTCAAGTTCCTTCTGAATGATGCCATGTTAGCACGTAGAGGTTCTTTATGGCTCGCTTTGTGACTTGATTTGATTGAAGTGCTGTTTGTAAGGAGCCTATGGTGCCCATGAGTTGGCACCCAAATGCATAAAATATGGTCCCTGCCCTCAAGAGGTCTGATCATTGTCTATGCACAATCACATGATCGCATCAGCACATCTCCAGGTCTCAGGACACCCAGTTCTTCAGAAGCATTTTTACTTCTGGCTGAAGCAACGGCTGCTGTTGTCACATGCTTAGCTGTAAAATCCCCCAGAAAGGTCACCTTACCCTCCAGAGACCCAGACAGATGCTCATCTGACAAAGAAGTTGTGTAATTTGTGCATTTTATGAAAGATTGAAAATTGTAAAATACCAACAAAAGTCTACAATTATGTCACAAGAGAATAATTTTACCTGTTTCTAGCCAGGCGCGAACACAAGGGTACACATCCGTGCTCAGAACACTGGTGGAGGTATCTTCCTTCCTTTTGATTTGTTTATTTGTATTGGAAGCAATTTTTTGAGCTACAAAACAGACCCTATCCTCTATTTTTCTCTGAAAATGGCATGGCAGAGAGAAATATATTAAGTACCACTTTATTCTAAGTTTGCCATATAACGACATTAATACATGGTAATTATACAATTAGTTGTAATGTTAGTTTCTAGCTATAGAACAATGATTACTGAGTAATTATAAGAAGTATATAATTACTCAATAATTATGAGAAGGAAGTAATTATATAACCATTTTGCTCAGCTCAAAAACGAACACGTGTATCTTCAGGAGCCATGCAGCTGAGTGAGTGTGATCTTCTCTTGTGCCTCTGCAAACACATGGTTTGGTTCCCATAACCTAGAGAGACAGTCAGGACTTCCACTCTCCAGGTTCAAAACTGAATGTGGATCCACAGGTCAGAGCTCTTTGTCCATCCCATCACCTGCCCCTTCCCCTTCTCTCTCAGCTCCGTGACTTTGGGCTCTTAGATAAGGGGGTCGATTTGCTAAAATGCACAGCATGGGATTGCCCCTCTGCACCGAGCTATGCGTTAGCATTTTCCTCTGCCTGTACATAAATTTCTGTGGGCTGGAAAGGTGCATCCACATTGGTTTAGTCTCAAAAACTAAGCTAGGCAAGGCTGAGGTGAAAAGTACTCTGTCACAGTGTTCATTCCTGTTTGCTCAGCCTAAGCCCACACTGTGTGGATATGATAGTGGGTGGTGAAGGTCCCTTTAGGTTTCCGGGTTTGGGAACCACAGCTTACCACACCCTGAACTCCAGTCATTGTGATGTTTAGCAGTGCCTCTCTAATCCACGTTGGCCTAGCTTGACACGAGGCCCAGGGCTTCAAGCCCAATGAAGGGGAACTAGACTCTTTGCAGAATGGGCTGTTTTTAGCAGTAATCCAGGGTTCATCCCCACTGCAGTCACTTAGGGCCATCTCACAAATTGCATACACTTGAGCTGTGCACTAACCTACTTTGGGAGGCTATCAGCATAGAAGCCAGAAATCACTGAATGATTCATTCTTCAACATGCTGAAATTTGAGAGCTACTGACTGAATTATTTATTTGTAGTTATGATATTTTAAAAAATTTATTTATTTGTATGAGTGTTTTATTTGTATTTATGTCTGTGCATCTCGTATATGCCTGATGTCCATAGAGGTCAGAGGAAGGTATTGGATTCCCCAGGAACTGAAGTTATAGATAACTGTAAATCACCAAATGGGTGTTGGGAACAGAACCTGAGTCCTCTGCAAGAGCAGCAAGTGCTCTTAAATACTGAGCTCTCTCTCTAGCCAACAGTTCAGCTACTCTTAAAGTAATGATCCCAGCTCATTTCGTCTACTTCTAGAAGTAGCTGGACCACACATGGCTTTCTAGCTGGTAAAGCTTTAGACTCTGGCTGTAGGCTGTAAAATGTTTATTCTGTTAGTAAATTAGCCATATAAAGAGAGTATAAAGCTAACAAACAGGACCTATCTTTAAAGCCTACAAAATCCAACACAACTGTTGTATGAGAAATTTTGATATATGCATGAAAAAATTTTAAAGTGAGTTATCATTGATCACTGTGGCATCTAGGACAATAATAACCCTCAGATTTTCTGACTGTGTCTTCTTCTGGGTCTCTCATTGATGATGCAGAGACTAGACACAGTCCTATTACATCACAAGGAGGGGACAAGTTTTGTATAGATCATAGAACTGATATCTTATTACTACTATTGTTTTTATGTGTATATGTGTGGGTATATGCATGTGTGTGCAAAAGGGCCAGAAGTCATCAGTTCCCTTAGAGCTGGAGTTACAGGCAGCTGTGAGCTACTGTAGGAGAGTGCTGGGAACTTTATGTGCTCTTGACCACTGAGACATTTTCAGGCCACAGAATATCCTCGGGAGCTAATAACTGTCTATAACTCTAGTTCCTGGTGATGTGACACCTTCTTCTAGCTTCCTGGGCACCAGGCAAAGGCACAGACATGGTGTACAGGCTTACATAAAGTCAAAACACTATATACATAAAAAACAAAATAGATCAATCCTTTAAAAAGAGAACCGCCACACTGCTATTTCAGGATATTCCAAACTTTGTGGAGTCTTCAAATATCTTATATCATCTAGTTCTACTTGCCTCTCTTTGAAGAAAGAGAGTTAGAGGAGGAAACAATCACAGTGCGTGTCATGTGGTCAACAGGTTCATTTGCTGTTCCTGCC